GAGGCTCCGGCGTAGTAGACTCGGAAGGAGGGGGTGGAGTGGGGGACTTCTTTGGAGAGGAGCCGGGAGTAGAACTTGTCGTGTTGGGCTATTTGGAGGGAGTGCTGGGGATCTGAGTTCTTGGTTGCAGGCATCTTCGGGTCTGAGAGGATGAGAGAGGGGGGGATGGGTGAGTGGAGTTTTGTTTTGTGGGTGTTTTTGAGGGTAGTGGGGGGGCCTTTTTGAATATTGATATAGTTATGGACTTGGCACATGCACCCACTTGGAGCGGGGTGACTACGAGGGCGGTTTCATGGGGGCGTGACATCGTGAGGGGTTAAGTTATGGTTCAGAGCTCCCAGGGTCAATGAAACTGTGCTATGAAAAAGTATAATCTGAGTAATTTTGCAATTGACTATGACTCTATGAGTGCCCCTGAGTTGTCGACGCGGTCGCATTTTTAAACAAAAATCTGTCCTGATGATTGGCGAGATGAGTGATAGTAGCAACATGTGAGGATTAAGTACGTAAAATGGAAAGTTACGGCTTCCTTTGGCAGCGCATGCTTTGTAACCATGGTTTTCAATAAATCTAACGAAAGTGGTTAAAATCATGGTTTCAGAAAGAGTTAGATGCAGTTACACCATCCGTACAGTGAAGGTGTAGTCACTTATTATCCTCTCAACCATTTTATTAGCATTTGCATCCTCTCAACCAGTTGCTTGGTACAATACTGTTTGGGAGCCATTGAACTTCCCCAAACATTCTTTCATTTGTTGGATGGCTGTTCAAAACAGACTGCTTACAATGGACAGATTGCTAAGGAGAGGAATTGTTCAAAACAATCATTGTTGCTTATGTGATTGCTCTGGATTGGAGTCAAGGAACCACCTGTTCTTTGAGTGTGTATACTCGAAAGAAGTATGGATTAAGATCATGGACTGGTTGGAATTTAAATGGAAAGCCTGTAACTGGGAAATTCTATTAGAGTGGTACAACAAAGGCTTGAGGGGTAAAGGCTTCAAACAGAAGATAAAAAGAATGGCTCTCAATGCAACCATATACAAACTGTGGATTGAAAGAAATATGAGGATATTCCAGAAGAAAAGTCGTGGGGCTGATCAGTTGGTGCGAGACATCAAATTCGACATTTTTTCTATAGTTCTTAACAGTAACACTTTGATGGAGAATAGGGAGTGGATGCTCTCTCTACGAAAAATGTAACAAGTGTTGCTGTGCATATCTTCTTTTTGAGTTCTCAAATTTTGAGATTCTTGATGTACAAATAACTTTCAGATTTGGTAAATGATAATATAATCTTCATTGACCAAAAAAAAAAGTGCTATAGATGATATTTATTATTCCCCTGTTTGGGTCAAATGTCACATGAGAATCATTTGATGATAAATTGCTTTTTATCTTCAATTTAACCTAAAAAGACTAAGTTGCCCTCTAAGTTGAGAGCAAAAAAGTAATGTCATATGAGATTCAGGGGTTTTCACACAAATAAAATACTTTAGGGAGTTTTAAGTGGTTATACTGTCATAAAGAGAGTTGCCTCACTTGGGGGTGTTTGGCAATCTAAAAGTAAATTTAAAATATGTAAGTTACTTCTTTTTGCAAATGACTTTTATATCCATGTCAGCACGCAAGTGAAATACAGTGTTTGTTTGAAAAATTAAATTATTATCGAAAGTGCAATGTGAAGATGACGTGGAAAAATAAGATTAATTAGAGAGTATAATTAAAATTATTTAATTAAATTAGTTACCTTTTTGTCACTTTCATGTGACTTCACCACTTTTTTAGGGGAAGTCAAAATTGTATTAATGGGGTGTTTGGCAATCTGAAAGTGGATTTAAAATATGCAAGTTACTTTTTTTTGCAAATGAATTTTACATCAATGTCAGCACGCAAGTGAAATACAGTGTTTGTTTGAAAAATTAAATTATTATCGAAAGTGCAATGTGAAGATGACGTGGCAAAATAAGATTAATTAGAAAATATAATTAAAATTATTTAATTAAATTAGTTATATTTTTGTTACTTTCATGTGACTTCACCACTTTTTTAGGGGAAGTCAAAATTGCATTAAATCTTATGTGACAACTTTCTTACATCTCACTTTCATAACCACTTACATGAAAACAAACATCTTAATTGTTAAATGAAAGTAACTTTCTCACTTTCATCTTTCACTTGCATGCAAACAAACACTCCCAAAAGTGAATTTAAAATATGTAAGTTATTTTTTTTTGCAAATGACTTTTACATCCATGTCAGCACGCAAGTGAAATACAGTGTTTGTTTGAAAAATTAAATTATTATCGAAAGTGCAATGTGAAGATGTGGCAAAATAAGATTAATTAGAGAGTATAATTAAAATTATTTAATTAAATTAGTGACCTTTTTGTCACTTTCATGTGACTTCACCACTTTTTTAGGGGAAGTCAAAATTGTATTAAATCACATGTGGTAACTTTCTTACATCTCACTTTCATAACCACTTACATGAAAACAAACACCTTAATTGTTAAATTCTCACTTTCATAACCACTTACATGAAAACAAACACCTTAATTGTTAAATGAAAGTAACTTTCTCACTTTTATCTTTCACTTGCATGCAAAAAACAAACACCTTAATTGTTAAATGAAAGTAACTTTCTCACTTTTATCTTTCACTTGCATGCAAACAAACGAGTATAAAAGTATAACCCTCAACTCTGAATTTGGACTTTTGGTGTAGAGAGTCTAGATGTTGCAACAATAACGTATGTATTTTCTACTAGAAGGGTCCTCTTAACAAAACCTTTAAGACAAAACTACTCAGATTTAGGGGGTGTTTGGCAATCTGAAAGTGAATTTAAAATATGTAAGTTATTTTTTTTTTGCAAATGACTTTTACATCCATGTCAGCACGCAAGTGAAATACATTGTTTGTTTAAAAAATTAAATTATTATCGAAAGTGCAATGTGAAGATGACGTGGCAAAATAAGATTAATTAGAAAATAAATTAAAATCATTTAATTAAATTAGTTACCTTTTTGTCACTTTCATGTGACTTCATCACTTTTTTAGGGGAAGTCAAAATTGCATTAAATCTTATGTGGTAACTTTCTTACATCTCACTTTCATAACCACTTACATGAAAACAAACACCTTAATTGTTAAATGAAAGTAACTTTCTCACTTTCATCTTTCACTTGCATGCAAAGTTTGTGGCGGGCTTTTGTGGTGCACTTTAGCAGGGCGATTTACTTGCTAACGTGCACACCGCCTTGTTTCAATGAGGAGGAAGAAGAAGAGTAATCAAAAGCGAGTGCCAAGCAGTGAGATAATAGATTCCATGTTTGTTTATCCATCTTCGTCTACCTCTGGAGGTGATGTTGCAGCGGATGAATTTGAGGAATCCCAAAGATCGGTGAAGGAGAGCATGATAATGGAGAGTACTGGACCTAAGGGAGCCAAGAAGAAGATAAGAGTCGAGGAGATCTTAGCAAGGTCTACTCCGATCTCAGATCCTCAGGTGAATTCTGGATTTCAAGCTTCTCGTCAATTATCAAATCTCTGGTCAGATAAAGTTGAAATAGATTTTGAATCTGGATCTAATTCAAATCTGGATGATGTTAATCTAGAAGATCTAAATAAGATGGATTTAAAGGATTCTGATTCTAATAGTAACACAAAATTTGTGGATCTCATCAAAGTTAGTGCTGAGTGTGATAATGATAAAGCAGAGCGTGAATCTGGAATGTTTAAAAAATCAAATGATGTTGCTATGGATGATGACTGTAAAATTCATGAGAATTCTGGAAAAAATCAGCCAAAAACTTATGCTAGTTTGTTCGCTGATAATAGAAAGAGTGGAGAGGGATTAAAGTTGAATTTTGTTCCATTCAATGAAGAAAATACAGTTACTTTCTCTCCTGAAGAATGGAAAGAAGGTGAAAAATACTGGAGATATGCTCTTATTGGCCATGTTATTGGTCTAAATGTGAGTTATAAATCAATGGAAGCCTATATAAATAAATTGTGGGGGAAAATCTCAATCCCTGAAATTCTTTTAATCAAACAAGGTGTGTTCCTTTTTGATTTTCACACTGAGAAGCAAATGTGTGAAGTTTTGGAGGCAGGACCTTGGTTTTTTGGCTCAAGGCCATTAGTTCTTAAACCATGGAAAATTGATACCGATGTAGACAAGATTCAGGATTTCAGCTACCCTATGTGGGTTCAATTTCCAAACTTGCGCTTGAATCTGTGGAGTTCTACAGGGATTAGTAAAATTGCTAGCATAATTGGAAATCCTATAACTACTGACAAACTTACAGCTACAAGAAAGAGGTTATCTTATGCTAGGGTGCTGCTAGAAGTTCAATTGCCTCTGAAACAACCTTTGCCTGATCAACTGGTTATTCATGGACCTGATGGAAAGTGTTTCACCCAAAAAGTGATTTATGAACTCAAACCTAGATGGTGTAATTCTTGCAATGTTATAGGGCATCTATCCGAACATTGTCGAAGGAAAGAACTCAAACCTAGATGGTGTAATTCTTGCAATGTTATAGGGCATCTATCCGAACATTGTCGAAGGAAAACTGGAAGAATGAGATGGATGCCTGTTAACAGGAATTCTAATGCTCAAAAATCTGGATCAATTGATAAAGGGACTGCTGAAACAAATGGTACAAATTCAATCTCTGAAAATAATCCCAGTAGTGGAGAGAATGGATGTAAGCCTGATGATAATCATGTTGGAGTATCTGGTGTTTTTTCTGGTGCACGTGCACAGGATGATTATACTCTTTCTGGGGCACATACACTGGTTAATACTGTCAGAGTTGGGGGATCAAATGCTAGAAATTCTGGTGCTTCTGGTGCACGTGCACAGGATGAATCTGGATCTGATGATATGCTATATTCTGATACTCTTTCTGGTGCACATACACTGGTTAATACTGTCAGAGTTGGGGGATCAAATGCTGGAAATTCTGGTGCTTCTGGTGCTGCACATACACTGGTTAATACTGTCAGAGTTGGGGGATCAAATGCTGGAAATTCTGGTGCTTCTGGTGCTCAATCCTCACCACCAAATCATATTTTTTTCATCCCCAGCTGTTAATGCTACAGGATTCACTAGTATTGCAAGGGATAAATCAGCAAGAAAAGTTAGCAGGAAAATAAATAATCAAGGGATTTTTCAGGCTTCTCATTTTTCTCTCCTGGAGCAACAGGTACATGATATTGACCCCTCTAGCATAGATAGGGGTGGACTATTTTCAAAATGCATTTAGCTATCTGGAATGTGAGAGGACTTAACAAATCCTCTAAACAATCCATTGTTAAGCATTTCATTTATCAATATAATCTACCTTTCATTGCCCTTTTGGAAACAAAAATTGCTGGGGATGTTAAGCATTTCATTTATCAATATAATCTACCTTTCATTGCCCTTTTGGAAACAAAAATTGCTGGGGATAAATTACAGTCTGTTGCTAGAAAAATTGCAAAGGATTGGGACTGGATTTCAAATGCTCACCAAGCTAGCAGAGCCAGGATTTGGATTATTTGGAATAGCAATATTCTTACTATTCAGAAAATTGCCTCTTCAGATCAGTATATTACATGCTCTCTAGTGTAAAAAAATGGAAGGATAACATGTATATTCTCTATAGTGTATGCACTTAATGATATGATTGGTAGAAAAGCTCTTTGGCAAGACCTTCTCTCTTTCAATCAAAGTATAAATGTTCCATGGTTCATTGGGGGAGACTTCAATTCTATCATTAACAATAGTGAGAAGATTGGTGGTGCTGTTGTTTCTAACTTTGACACAGATGATTTTCAGAATTTCATTAATTCTTGCCAGCTACTACATCTCAAGTCCACTGGTTGTTTTTTCACCTGGTGTAATAAACAAGATGCAGGCACTAGAATTTGGAGTAGGCTTGATAGAATACTAATAAATGAAGAATGGATTCACAACTTCACCTCAAGTCAAGTGGAATATTTAGCTCCAAATTGCTCAGATCATTCTCCTGCCCTTATTACTATTGAAGAAGAAAATTTTATAGGTAAAAGGCCTTTCAAGTTCTTCAAAATGTGGACAAGTCATCCTGAGTTCATTGGTGCTGTGAAGTCAATTTGGGAGCAAAACACCAATGGTTTTAAGATGTATCAGGTTTATACTAAACTCAAAAATCTTAAACCTGTGTTGAAGGATCTGAACAAGAGACACTTTATGAATATTAGTGAGCAAGTGTTGAGAGCAAAGGCTGAATTAGAGGATGTTCAACAGCAGATAAGTTCTGATCTTTTTAATTCCTCCCTGATTCAGAAAGAAAGAGAATGTCTGAAAAAATATGACAGACTTCTTAACTGTGAAACCTCCTTCTATAGTCAAAAGGCAAATATCAAATGGAGCATAAATGGTGACAAATGCACCCACTTTTTTCATTCAGTCATGAAAGTTAAAAGGCATCAAAATAGAGTTCTGTCTATTTACTGAAAATGGAGATAGAATCTCAGAATTGCCTAGAATTGCTGCAGAATTTATAAGGTACTATGAAAATCTGCTGGGAACAAAAGCTTCTGTCTCAAAAACTAACCCTGTGTAAAACCCCGAAATTTTATAATGAAATGGTGTGATTAATAGTAATAAATCTTTCTTTAGTGATAAATAACCATACATATATATGAGATATATATATGTTTATCAGTGTTTGGGAACTCACCAGGTGTTAGTAAGTGAGAGTAATCGAGTAGTAGCTAGCCAGCACAAAAAATACCTGAACCAGGCATTTTAGTGCTGACCGGTCGACCGGTACGGTCGACCGAGCAGCGGTCAGTTTGTTTTCCAGGTTCCTCTTTTTACGATTTCGGTTTTGGGCCTTAGAGGGTTTCGGGTCGGGTTTAGAAGGGGGTATATAAGCATCTGCTCACGAGAGAGCCTCCAGGAGTTCTGAAATCAAAACCCTAAAACCCCTCTCCCTTCCTTTAAACCCTAAGCCTCTGTTTTGATGATTTGGGGAAGCTCTTGAGGATTTTTTCGGCGGGATTCAGGGATTTCAGCAAAGGGAAGCAACCTACTGAAGATCTAGGGCTTTTGTCAACACTCAAGGCGAGTATCATCTCGCCCAATCCCTCACCCCTATTTTTCTATGATTTTATTTCGATTTTTCATGAGTTTTTGAAGAGCCCAACTGGTATTTTCGTATAAAAATGAGTTCTTTACATTATGGGTTGCAAGAATCGACATTTCAGTTTATGAAAGTTCACCAACGTTTTGTCTAACAAAGATCTAGATCTGAGTTTTCTTAAACAAGAGTTAACCATGATTTACTGTCATTTAAAACGTTTCTAATTTGTTCCTCATGTATTTTGAAATATTGGGAATATGGATTTCATGCTTGAGACTAGTTATTTTTCTTCAGAACGTTAGAACTTGTTACCGTAGGAGTTCTGTCAAATTTCGTTTCAGGTTTCGAGCTGACAGAAACCCAGATTTGGGTTTCTGTCCGCTCGGCGGTCGACCGACGCGGTCGACCGCTGAGCTCGATTTGAGGTTTCGGTCGACCGCCCGTTATTTCGGTCGACCGCGTCGTCATTTCGGTCGACCGTCGATTATTTCGGTCGACCGTGGCATTATTTCGGTCGCCCGCCAGGCTCCCCTGTTCTGGGTATTTTTGAGTGTTCTGTTCAGGTTTGGGAGTTTGACTGGACTATCTGACATTGGTATTTAGTCTTGCTATGTACCCAGGCACAATAGATGACCTGAGGGCACCAATTGTGGATATATACACTGGTATGATTATGAATTGATATAAGTAGTTTTCACTATATACCACAGCGATACTTTTCACAGTTTCTTAGTCCTCGTGTTGGACTGTGATTTATGAAAGTCCTCGTGTTGGACTGTGATTTATAGAAGTCCTTGAGATTGGACTGTGAGTTATGAAAGTCCTCGTTTGGAACTTTGATTTATAGAAGTCCTAGTGTTGGACTATAAATTCATTCCAGACCTCGTGTTAGACATTTGACACCTATTTCATGAGTTTGGAAACTACGACATGATGTTGATATGGCACTTATGTAAATAATAACATG